TTCTCCAATATGTCTGTCAGCAAAGTGAGGTTTGGGAGTCTGGAAAGACAAGGATCCCAAGATGTCACGTTCATGATCAACCCGAATGGGACTGCAGAGATGGAAGGGCTGAACAAGGTGGGAAAATTTTATTTCACTCTCTCTGAAGCTCCTAGCACGAGGGTTGCATTCTTTGGGCAGGAAGTGGTTTTGAATGTCATCTAGGTTCTTTAAGCAAGGCAATATATTCCTTGCGTAGATGTCAAGTTGTCTACAAGAAATAAACCCTTAAATATTTAAGTAAACTATTTATTAGTCCTTTAGGTAGGACTAATGTAGGTAGATCAGAGCCATTGAACCGCAGGATTCATTGGATATTCACGAAAGATGCATCCAATCTTGAGTAATTTAGATTATAAATTTAGATTCTAAACCTAAAAATTGTTGTCTGTGAAAAATTAGAAGAGAAGATAACAGGGAAGCAACATGCAGGGAAGCAATATAAATTTAGATTCTAAACCTAAAAATTGTTGTCTGTGAAAAATTAGAAGAGAAGATAACAGGGAAGCAACATGCAGGGAAGCAATCTGTTTGATGAACCCCAATGATTTTACAAACTTCAAATTGAGTAAACTTCAGGATTGAATTGCAGATCACTAAGTGCATCCCCGTTTGCCTCTTTCCTGAAAGTAAATACCTTTTTGGATGCTCTTCCTCTCCCTGCTCAGCCCCTGCCTCCTTCCAGGTGTGTGGAACACTGTCGTTCTGGATTCAGGAAGGTGGCTCAGGAAGGGAAGCCCATCTGCTGCTACGACTGTCTTCCTTGCGCTGAAGGAACCATCTCCACCATGGAAGGTGGGTGACAGCGAAGGAAAGGGACAGTCCTCAGAAAAGTGTCTTCACCTTGATCTTTTCCATGCAATCCCTTTTTCAAAGGAATTTATCGCCTTCATACCTTTTGTGTTCATTTCTCTCTGTATTTGTAACTTGGGGCAGGAGATGAAAAGATACTGGACCAACTAGGGCTTAGTATTACCAAGAAGACGGGATTTCCTGGGCTTCATCTTGTCCTCACACCTTTCATGTTTCACTTTGCTAGTCACCCCATTTCTCTGAATAGTAAGGATGACTCTAGTTCCAGGGCATAATGACACTGCTTGGGTCTTTGGGAAAGGATTGATCAGGTCTTCTCACAATTGTCCCTGTCTGGATGGAACACTTCTAGTGGCATCTGAAGGTTATAGCTTCAGTTTTCCTGAGAAGCCAAAATAAAGCAACTGTGTAGGATTCCAGAACCCAATCACTTCTCCTTGTCCTGCTTCCATTTTTTTCACATTCACAAAACACAGAACACAGTATTTCAGCACCTGGGTCTTATACTGAGCAGGGATGGTGGCCTTAATGGCCCTTCCAGCTTCTGGATGGTGTCTAAGTGGGGTGGGAACAAAGAAATCATGAGTTGGGGCTGAGTCACATTTCCTTCTTGCTCTGCAGGAAGATGGTTACTATTTAGAACAGGAATGCCTGATGACGCCCCAACTCACCCTGAAACCACCCTTAAGGTCACCTCCACCTAACTTTTCTTGCTCTATCTCAGGTGTTTTCTGAGCTATGAGTTTTCTTCTGCAAACATAAGCTGTGCTATGTGGTCCTTCTCATGCAGTTCTTTCCATTGCAGGAAGCGGTGTTTGGATTTTTGTTGTTCTTCTTGTTTTTGTTTTGATGAAAAGTGATGAAAACCTGGACTTTCTTGTTTTGTTTTTAACAGCTTCAACACTGGAATGGTAAAACAGTGAATCCTTCCTTCCTTCCTTCCTTCCTTCCTTCCTTCCTTCCTTCCTTCCTTCCTTCCTTCCT